CACGCAGGCAGAACACTTATACGTAATCAATAACCAAGTCTTTAAAAAAAAAAAAATGACATAATTAAGAGCAGAATTTCTAAATAAAGGCTTCACCAAGAAATGCAATGTTTGTTGAAGATTTGGGTAATGAAAGACCTTTGGAGCGTGGACCTTCACGCTCCCACTCAGGAAAGGCGACACACCAAATCACTCACGAGAAGCGGTCTTGATGCAAATAGCATGAGGAGTTTTTATTCCAAGTGCACTGGGGTCCACAGTCATATGCCATGCAGGGGTAGAGGACTGAAAACCTCGAGGGCAGAATTGAGATAGTTTTTATAGGATTTACATCAAAGCTAACAAGGCCAGTTTCAAAGCTAGCCTGTTGTTTTCATTAGGTCTAAAAGCAAGGTTGTGGGACAGTTCAAAACTTGGAATGGTTAATAAGGTTTCCTAGGTTACATAGATTTCATAGAGTGCACAGTTTTTACAAGGCAGGATTGTTTAGTGCACTTGCAAGGTTAGGGGGTTTTCTTTCTCTAGGACCAGCAGGTTCAGTGGCCTTGTTCTTGAGCGGCTGGGAGAATGTACTCTCCAGTCAGGGAGTTATCTATATCTATTGGCAGAGGCACTTGTTCTTTCTAGCTTTTCCTTCTTGCCATGAGTCCTGTCTCTTTTAGTTATTAATTTTCTTCATACACAGGATGACCCATAACAATTCCCAGACTGTTGTTGTGGATAACAGCATTCTTAAGAAACTAAGTGGTTATGAATAATAATAATTCCCAGAAACGGGTCATCATGACCAAGCTATTTCATGTGTTTTTCTTTTTTCCTGAGCTCTGCAGGCAGCTAGGGTCATTTTTAAATACATGCTGATGGACTTTTTCTAAATTTTTAACTTTTAGTGGTCATTATAGAGTTAGGCTGTATTTTCATCCTTTCAATACCTCTTATTAAGACTGAATGTGTCCTTTACGCCATTTTCTTAATTTTTAATTATTGTTGATCATTACCAAATAGTTTTTCTGAAAACTACAATAATTTTTTGCTATAAATACAATAGAATAAAAAAATTGTATTAATAGAATTTGAAGACAAAAACTCATTTGTGTTCCTGACATAGATGCTGCTTCACTGTAATACATTACTTCTAATACATTGCCTGATTTAGTGTGCTAATATTTTATTGAACATTTTTGTCTCTATTTTCTTAACCACTGAGCCATCTCTCCAGTTCATTAGTCTCTACGTCTCTGTCTTCTTCTCCTCCTCCTCCTCCTTCTCCTTCTTCGTCTTCTTCTTCTTCTTTATTCTTGGTTTTCGAGACAGGGTTTCTCTGTGTGTAACTCTGGCTTTCCTGGAGCTCATTCTATAGATCAAGCTGGCCTTGAACTCACAGAGATGCTCCTCCCTCCGCCTTCTAAGTGTTGGGATTAAAGGCATAACCTGATTGTCCTGAGAGTCACTATGAAGGCCAGGTTGATCCATTTGCCTCTACCTCCTAATTTCTGGAATTAAAGGTGTGGGCCACCATGCCTGAAATTTTTTATTTTCTTAATTCTCACTGTTGATCTTTGTTTTAGTGTTATCTACTGTTCTTATTTTCATTTATTGTTTTGTTAGAGACAGGGTCTCATATATCCACTGATAGTCTCAAAATAACTGTGTAGACAGGAATGATCTTGAATTTTTGATCTCCCTGTTCCCCTTATGAGTGGTATGATTACAGAAATACACAACTACAGCCAGTTTATGCAGTGCTTAGGATCAAGCCCAGAACTTTGCACATGCTAGGCATGCACTCTACTAAAAGCTACATTCTCAGACCCAGTGTCTTGTGTCTCAGGCATTTTCTTAATTCTTTTGTTTTTGATATTTCCTTTATGTATACACTAGACATATTTCCTTTTGAGATAAAGTGTCATGTTGGGACAGGCAACCATAGGGAATAGTTTAGCAACCTGGGAACGCTATGTATATGTTCCTATATTTCTTTTTATATACATTATTATTGTAGTTAGGTACATGTTTTACCTTGTGTATATTTATGTATGTGTGTGCCAGGTGCCTGTAGAATCAAGAAAAATGTGTCAGACCCCTGGAACTACAGTTACAGATGGTTGTGAACTGCCTACCATTTGGGTGTTGGGTATTGAGCCCAGGTCCTCTGGAAGATCAGTCAGTGCTCTTAACCACTGAAGCATCTCTCTAGCTCCACACATCCCTCTTCTAACAATGCATTTGGCATCCCAGAACACTCAGTTCCATGTACTATGCATGCACAGTCCTCTCAGAACAATGCAACTAACAACCTGTAAGCTACCTAGGACACCTACCTGCATCAAACTGCTAGTGTAGTAAGTTTCTCCTACACTTGGACAATTTCTACTCAAACTTATTCAGTACTCTGGAGGGGCATATGCAAGGTAGGAAGGCTGATCAGCATAAATTCTCTCTCTCTCTCTCTCTCTCTCTCTCTCTGTGTGTGTGTGTGTGTGTGTGTGTGTGTGTGTATGTAATAAACTAAAACTGTTTTTAAGAGAACTTTTAGGAAGAATTCCCTATTCACCATATTATGCCTGTACATAATAGGGGTTGCATATGATTAAAATCAGATGCATTATGGGAAGGGACATGCCCTGTGAGCAAGGGCTTACATAGTCCAAGCCTATTAGTCTTCATAGAAAAGACCCCAAATTACATTCTTTGTAACCAAACTCCTCCCTCACTTGAACTCCATAAAGGAAATCCCAAACAATAACTGAAGGAAGCCCCAAGCAATAACAGGGTCCCTTGATTACCTTCACTCATGTAGCTGCTGTCAGTCTTGAAAGTGTAGCTACAAAGTGTTCAATGAAATAGATTATTGTTTACTTTGTTCCCCTCTGAACTTGAATAGGAAGCCAAGGACAGAAAAACACCTTGCCAGACCACCACCAGTAACACACAGTACAGCTTAACCTGGCCACAAACTTGCTTTGTAGCTGAGACTGGGTTTTGCATTTTTGAGCTCTTGCTTCAACCTTCCAAATGGTAGAATCACCATCTGGTGGTAGATGCTTCATTTACTTTCAGTCATTTCCTACAATGTGGATTTGAACCTGAATTCTTCAGCTGCCTGCTAAGTTAAAATGCCCAATGGTCTTTCACTGTGATTTAGCAGTTTCTTTCTTCAGTAAACATTCTCTTGGCTGGCAATGGTGATTCATGCATTTAATGCCAGCACTCAGAATGCAGAAGCAGGCAGATCTCTGAGTGTGAGGCCAGCCTGGTCTGCAGAGTGACTTCCAGGAAAGCCGGGGTACACAGAGAGGCCCAGTCTTGGAAAACAAAAGCAAATCAAAAGCCCAACAAAAGGCAAACAAAACAACAACAACAAAACATTCTCTTGGTGGCTATAAGTTACAAATAAGATTTCTGAAAGGATGGCTACCGTGGAGGGATAGAGTTTTGGGGTTCTCTATTATGTCATATTTAGTGATATCACTTTCATTAAATCTAGAAAGTATCACTTTAAATGTTTCTTCTCCATTCTCTTCTATGGAATTCTGATTTTTGTATTCTGTGTCTCATCTTTCATATTTCTTCTTTTTATCTTTCAGGATTAGTTCTAGCTAATTCTCCCATACCTTTCAATTCATTAATTCTCTCTTGAGTTGTGCCTGATTTGCTCACTCATTCTGTTTATTTTATATGTGTGAACGTTTTGCATGCATGTATATATGTGTATCTTATGTGTGTTTAGTGTGAGTGGAGGCCAGAAGAGGGCCAGATCCTCTGAAAATCAAGTCACAGAAGACCTAAAGCCACTTGATATGGGGCTGGGAACTGAACTCAGTTCTGTAAGAGCAACAAGTATTCTTAAATATGGAACAATCTCTAGAGACATTCTAACTCCATCGCATTTTTGTTTTGTTTTGTTTTGTAGAGAAGCTCTTGCTTTGTGTCAGGCTGGCCTCAAACTCCCTCTGTAGCACAGGCTGGCCTTGAACTCCTGAGCCTCATACCTCAGCCTCCTGAGTGCTGGGATGTTGATGTATGCAACCTCACTGGCCCTGTTTTTACTCATCTGTTCACATTTTTACTTCAAGAATTATGTTTCTCTATTATAGACATTAAACTATGCACTTTAAAAATTGTTTATTCTGTCTCTATAGTCTTTCTAATGTTTGTTTGTTTGTTTTAAGATCAGAGTTTCTCTGTGTAGCCCTTCTGTGTTGGAAGTGGCTCTGTAGTTCAGGCTGTCCTCTAACTTAGAAATCTGTACTCTACTGCCCACGTGCTGGGATTAACGATGTACACCACCACTGTTGGGTGTTATAATCTTATTTTTGTCTGCAGTTATTTAAACTGCATTGATTATTTTCTCACATCTCAGCTCATCTGAGTTTCAAGATTCTAATCTCTGAGTTTCAAGATTCTAATCTTCCATTTTGTTTCATATTTTTTATAAGAAACCTGGTTTTTATTAGGCAGATTAACAAAACTTTAATATTATCATCCTGCACACACTCCTTCTGCAAATTGATAAAGAACCTCCCTTTAGGACCTGAACCATTAAACCACTAGAGGTAGGATTTGGAAGTACACTTCAACATTTAAGGGCACTAATTTTCTGAATAGGATGTGGTAGCACATAGAACTGACAAGAAATAGCTCATGAAACAACAAAGGTTCTGTGAATGTACCTGGGTTAAGCTCTATCACATTATTTCTGTGCCTGAATGTGTCTGGCACTTCCTTTCCCACAGACCCTACAGACTTTTTTTTCTTTTCTTTTCTTTTCCTTTCTTTCTTTCTTCCTTCCTTTTCTTTTCTTTTTTTCTTTTTTTTTTTTTTTTCTTTTTTTTTTTTTTTTTGAGACAGGGTTTCTCTTTGTCTTTGAAGCCAGACCTGGAACTCGCTCTGTAGACCAGGCTGGCCTCAAACTCATAGAGATTTGCCTGCCTCTGCCTCCCAAGTGCTGAGATTAAAGGCATGTGCCACCACCGTTCAGACCTACAGTCTTTACTTACAGTAATAGGCCAGAAGATGAAAGGCATGTATCTGTGGATGGCAAAGGAGTTAAGGAAGATGAAGAAAGCGATAATGGACACTTCCATAGTGAGAAGCAGAATCAGAATTGGGTGTGTAGTCGTTGTTTCAAAGATGTGTAGTCCAACGAACATGCAGACCTGGGTGGAAACATACACACATTTGAGCTGGTGCAAGGGTTTGCCCCTACTTCTGAGGTCCTCCTCCACAGACACACCCAGACACACCATTCAGCTTACCAAAGTCAGGATCTTGACCTCGGCGTGACCCATAATCCAGAATTGTTTATTGCTGTCTTTGAATTCCCACCTGTAGCGTCGAAACCCTCTTTTTGCGCCTGCAGCATCTTTGGTATGTAATGGTGTTTGGCCAGGCGGAGGTGCTGCCATGGTTAGCAGTAGTTCTCAACTTTTCACCGCCCAGCCCCGCCTGCAGTCCCTGAACAGGCCCAGCTCGAGAGCCTGGTGACTTCAGACCTGTTTAAGGGCAGCGCTCAACTGAATTCCAACGCTTATGCTTTGTTCAGCACGAGCACACCTCATCTCGTGGACCAGTAGGATCCCCTCCACCATGGCAGAGGCCAGATATTTCCCCACCTCTACGCATCCCTGTGCGCTAAGCCCCACTGGTCTAGGCTTTCCTAGAAAAAGGAGTGGCAGCTTTTGGTTGCAGCTCGCTGGGGTCCTGCCTCTCCCATCCTCCTGGGGCTGCCTTGTGGTGGAGTGGAAGTGGAATGCGACTTTTACACAAGGCCACAGGAGGAAGCAGAAGTTTTGCCAGCTTAGCAGCCCTGTCTTTATGGTCACACACAGGTGGGCTTTGGGGATCAGTGATTATACGTGGACATGGGTTTCTGCCAAATGGCTGGAAGGGCTAGGTAACTTCAGCATAGCTCCTGCCTCGGTGTTAACGTGGATGTCTTACACTCCCAGGACCTTCCTCATGTCATTCTTCATCTTCTTGGTGACCAACAACATATTGCAGATACACATAACTGCAGCCACGAGGCACAGGATCTGTCAGACACAAGACTGGTAGGAAGGAAAGCCAGATTAGTTTACCACTAGCTCAGCCTCCATCAAAGAGGGCATATCTCCAAAATATACAAAGAACTAAAAAACTAGTCAACAAAACACCAAATAACCCTATTAAAAATGGGGTACAGAACTGAATAGAGAAATCTCAATAGAGGAAGTCAGAAAGGCTGAAAAACACTTTAAAAAGTGCTCCACATCCTTTGCAATCAGGGAAATGCAAATCAAAACAATTTTGAGATACCAACTTAGTCCTGCCAGAATGGCTAAAATTAGAAACACCAATGACAACTCATGCTGGAGAGGATGTGGAGAAAGGGGAACACTCCTCCACTGCTGCTGAGAGTTCAAACTTGTACAGCCATTTTGGAGATTAGTATGGCTGCTCCTCAGAAAAATGGGAATCAGTCTACCACAGGACCCAGCAATCCCTTGCTTAGACATAAACCCAAATGATCCACATCCACGCAACAAAGACATCTGTTCAACTATGCTCATAGCATCATTATTTGTAATAGCAAGAACCTGGAAGCAACCTAGATGGCCCTCATCTGAAGAATGGATAAAGAAGATGTGGAAAAAAAAAAAAAAACCAATGTAATCTTGAAATTCACAGGCTAGTGGATGGCACTTGAAGAAACCATCCTGAATGAGGAAACCCAGTCACAAAAAGAGGAACATGGTAAGTACTCACTGATATATGGATTTTAGACATAGAGCAAAGGATTACCAGCCTATAATTCACACCGCCAGAGAAACTAGGATACAAGGAGGATTCTAAGAGATTCATATAAGGTCCCTCACAGAAAGGGAAAAGGACAAGATATCCAGAGCATATGAAACGTGGCAGGGGGGGGGGTGTCAGTGAGTGGAGAGGGAACTAGGAGAAAGAGAAACAGAAGAGACAAAAGCATGTGGGACTAGGAAGATTGTCAGGGGAGGAATAAACTAGAGAAGAGAGAGAGAGAGAGAGAGAGAGAGAGAGAGAGAGAGAGAGAGAGAATAAGAGAGGGAGCCTTTATATGTTTGAAGAGAAAACTGAACCTAGAGAAATGCCGAGAGATCTACAAGACTGACCCCAACTAACAATTTCATCAACAGTGGAAAGGCTACCATGAATGCCCTTCCCTGATGAGGTCGGCGACTAACTTATCTACCATCATGGAGCCATCATCTAGTAGCTGATGGAAACAGAAGCAAACACCCACAACTAAACACAGAAGGAAACTGGAATCCAGATGCAGAGAGGGAGGACAAGACCAGGCTACAGAAACCCACAGAGTCAGCTGACCTGAACAAGGAGGAGCTAATGGACCCCCAGACTGATAGCTGGGAATCCAGTGTGGGACTAACTCAGACCCCCTGAACATGGGTCTCAGCTAGAAGGCTGAGAGTCTAAGGGACCTTGGACAGTGGAACCAGGATGTATTCCTGGTGCACAAAAGGACTTTGGGGGACACACACCCCCATGGAGGTATACTCCCTTAACCTAGAGACAGGAGAGAAGGCCTAGACCCTACTACAAATGACTTGACAGATTTAGATGACCCCTCCTGGAGGGCATCAGCCTACATGTGGAGTGGGAGGGGGTGATGGGATGGGAGGGTGGTTCGGGGGACATGAGAGGGTTGGAGAGAAGGAAAGATGGAGGGAGGGAGGGAGGGATGGAGGGAGGGAGAGAGGATAGGGAGGGAGGGAAGGAGAGGGAACTGGGATCGATATGTAAAATAAAAATAAAAAATAAATTAATAAAAAAAGAAAAAAGAAAACAATGCAAAGAATCAATGAGATCAAGGGTTGGTTCTTTGTGAAATTCAACAAAATAGACAAACCTTTATCCAAACTAACCAAAAGACAGAGAGAATATACAAATTAACAAAATCAGAAATGAAAAGGGGGACATAAGAACAGACACTGAGGGAATCCAGAGAATCATCAGGTCATATTTCAAAAACCTGTACTCCACAAAATTGGAAAACTTTAAGGAGATGGAAATTTTTCTAGATAAGCACCACATACCCAAATTAAATCCAGAACAGATAAACAACTTAAATACACCTATAACTCCTAAGGAAATAGGAACAGTTATCAATAGTCTTCCAACCAGGAAAAAAAAAGAAGATCTAATATCAATACTCCTCAAATTATTCCACATAATAGAAACAGAAGGAACACTGCCAAACTCTTTTTATGAGACTACAATTACCCTGATACCCAAACCTCACAAAGACAGACCAATTTCTCTCATGAACATAGATGCAAAAATATTCAATAAAATGCTGTCAAACCGAATTCAAGAACACATCAGAAAATCATCCACTATGACCAAGTAGGATTCATCCCAAAGATGTAGGGATGGTTCAACATACAGAATTCCGTCAAAGTAATCCACTATATAAACAAACTGGAAGAAAAAAACACACATAATCATTTCACTAGATGCTGAAAAATTCAACACTCCTTCATGATAAAGGTCTTGGAGAGAATAGGGATACCTAAGCATAATAAAGGCAATATACAGTAACCCAACAGCCAACATCGAACTAAATAGAAACTCAAAGCAATCCCGTTGAAATCAGGAACACGACATAGTACATGAAGTTCTAGACAGAGCAATAAAACAACAAAAGGAGATCAAAGGGATGCAAATTGGAAAAGAAGTCAAATTCTCACTATTTGCTGAAGACATGATAAGTGGTCCCAAAATTTATACCGGAGAACTCCTACAACTGATAAACATTTTCAGTAATGTATCAGGATACAATATTAACTCAAAAATATCAGTAGCCCCGCAATATACAGATTATAAACAGGATGAGAAGGAAATCAGAAAAACATCATCCTACACAATAGCCACAAATAACATAAACTATCTTGGGGTAACTCTAATCAAACAAGCAAAAGACCTGTCTGACAAGAACCATAAGCCTTTAGAGAAAAAAATTGAAGAAGATCTCAGAAAATGGAAAGATCTCCCATGCTCCTGGATAGGCAGGATCAGCATAGTAAATATGGCAATCTTACCGAAAGTAATTACAGATTCAATGTGATCTTCATATGGAAAAGCAAAAAAAAAAAAAAAAAAAAAAAAAAAAAAAAAAACAAAAACAGGATAGCCAAAGCAATCCTGTACAATAAAGGATCATCTCTCAGGGCATCACCATCCCTGACTTCAAGCTATGTTATAGAACAATAGTAATGAAAACAGCTTGGTAGCTTGACATAAAAACAGACAGATGGATCAATGAAATCGAACCAAAGACTCCAATGTCAACCCACACACCTATGAACAGCTAATTTTTGACAAAGAAGCTAAAAGTATAAAATGGAAAAAAGAAAATATATTCAAGAAACGGTGCTGGTATAAATGGCTGTCAACATGTAGAAGAATACAAATAGATCCATATCTATCACCATGCACAAAATTCAAGTCCAAATGGATCAAAGACCTCAATATACATCCATCCACGTAAACCTCATAGAAGAGAAAGTGGGAAATACATTCAAATGCATAGGCACAGAAGACCACTTCCTAAATAGAATACCAGTAGTAGCACAGACTCTGAAAGCAAGGATTAATAAATGGGACCTCATAGAACTGAGAAGCTTCTGTAAAGCAAAGAACACTGTAACAAGACAAAATGGCTCCCTACAGAGTGGGAAAAGATCTTCACCAGACCCACATCTCACAGAGGGCTGATCTCCTATACCAAGAACTCAAGAAGCTAGACATCAAACTACCAAATAATCCAGTTAAAAAATAGGGTACAGATCTAAATGGAGAATCCTCAACAGAACAATCTCAAATAGCAGAGAGATACTTAAGGAAATGCTGAACATCCTTAGTCATCAGGGAAATCAAAACCATTCTGAGATTCCATCTTGCACTGATCTTACACTGGCTAAGATCAAAACCACCAATGACAGCTTATGATGGAGAGGATGTGGAGAAAGGGGAACATTCCTCCATTGCTGGTGGGAGTGAAAATTTGTACAGCTGCTGTGGAAATCAGTGTAGTGATTTCTCAGAAAATTAGGGATCAATGTACCTCAAGACCCTGCAACACCACTGTTGGGCATATACCCAAAGGAGGCACATTCATACCACAAGGACATTTGCTCAACTATGTTCATAGCATCATTATTTGTAATAGCCAGATCTTGGAAACAGCCTAGATGTCCCTCAACTGAAGAATGGATAAAGAAAATGTGGCATATTTGCACAATGGAGTACAACTCAGCGGTAAGAAAACAATGACATCCAAAAATTCACAGGCAAATGGACAGAACTAGGAAAAAACATCCTAAGTGAAGTAACACAAAACCAGAAAGATAAATATAGTAGGTATTCACTC